GTATTATCTTTTCGGAGTGCGCGCGTGATATATCGTGAATTGTAATTCGTGATGTGTTATGTGACGTACGCTGAATAATTATTACTGTAGTTCAGCATAATAATCTCAAGCCACCTGCCACCGCGGTACCTCGAGCTGCATTAATTAAGAAAATTGTGGTTTTAACTTGCTTGTGTGCTACAGCGTCAACGCTGTCGTGACTACTTTGAGGCACTGAATCTGAAATGCGCCGAGATAAGATGAAAACACGAAGTGAATGTCCCAAAGGTGAGATCAGTGCATATTGACAGCTTTTGGTCAATATTTTTTCTTGATGTTTACCAGCAATTTATTTGTACCTCACCGTAATGATTTTCTTCCTAACTTTAATTTTTAAAAGCTTGGGAAATGGCGTGTTTTTAGTGTATTTCTTGGTAGATCGATCCAAAAAACGAGATTGCCACTTCCAGATCCTTTCCGCTATCGACTGTTAACATGAAAAGTTGATTGGGAAAAGAAAATGGAATCTCTCGCTGTAAAACGCGATTCTGATAAGAAAACAGGCGCCGCAAAAAAAATAGATGAATTCAATTATTTTAATCCGCAGCTTTTTCTTCCTCAACCTTCAATAAGGCGCATTTCTGACATCTGACAAACGTCAATTTATTGTTTGACGAGAGTCTGAACAAAAATGTCCTTCTAAATAATATTCTCCAAGCAATTTTTTCTTTGCACCTCCAGGAAGGCATTTTCCATTGGAAACTAGGTAATGTCAGTTTTAATTTTGAGATTGACAAGCAATGAAAAATCTATTAGATAATTCAATTTAGAGCTTTCACTTGTGTTCGCAGTGTTTATTGGTTCTTAGGTGAGAAACAAACAGAGAGGGCAAAAGGAGGTCGGTCAGTAATACACTGTGGATGTAATTTATTAAAGAAATGAAATTTGTCGCGGGCGTAGAAGCTTTATTAGAGATCGAATAATATGAAAACCGTTGGCAGTCGGAGTTGTTTCACCATATAGCTCTTCTGATAGAAAAGCGGACAAAAATTGAGATATTAAAGCGAGTGTTGCTTGTCTTGTGAATACCTTTCAATTTAGCACCAGTGAATTTCTTAGTACAATCAGTTTTGTATGGTTTGCGTAGAAACAAAAGAGGGAGGGACGTTAATATCAAAAGCTCTGATGATAAACGTACAGATTTCAAAGACGAACTAGTAAATGACTTTTTTTTTACCCTTTTTTTTCAATATGCCATTCTGTTATCTGTTAATATTTCCTTGAAGCAAATAACGCGATATTGAAAGTGTCATCTTGATATCTGAATTGGCACAAAACAATTTCAAGTACAAATGCTGCAAAATACGTTTAAGAGAGAAGCAAAAAATATAAATATATACATATATTTATTTTATCTTGCATTTCAGCCTGTCTAGTTTATTATCAAGCAACTGTGAATTAATGCTTAAAACGGAAAAATTGTGGTAGCTTTTCTACGCGCCCTCAAATAAATGAACGGTAAGATGGCATCGCGCATATAATTCCGAAGGGAATTTGAAAGAGAATTAATAAGTAAACGTGTATATTCTTTTGATTAACAAATTATTGTAATATGCAATTAGTCGATGGAAAATGATGTACAGACTCGAAGATAGAGTTCAAATTCCAATTACGTGCTAACGAGAATAGATCTTCCTCCGTATGTAATACAATCATGTGAAGTTTGCAAGCGCCAAGAATGGCCAAAAAGAAAATGTAATAAGCACTCTTGTGTTGCAGAATGTCGACGCAAGCGCTTTTACCACCCGATGCTTCGCGCCCGAAAGCATAAATTATGTATGCCTCACAAAGTCAGTGCAAGTTGTTAATATTCATACAAAGCAAAAAATCACCAAATTCAAGCTTCGCCAAAACGGCTCAATTTCGACAGGAAAAGCGGCGTTGAATACAAACAAGAGGCCAGGAGAGCAGTGAAATGGCACTTTTCAGGTCGTAGCAACCACGTTGGAATATTTCAATGGCCTTTCACCTGCCCTACACAAAGGGATCTCGTTACTTTGTGGCGGTTAGTGGGCTCTCCGCGTTTTCCCGCTGCGCCAAAGCTTTTGTTTACATTTTTGGTAATTTTGCATTTTGTGCGCTTTCGCAGGAACCTAGAAGTACTAGTAGCTCTTCAAGCGATTTGTTGGCAGTTTGACTGCGTTGTAAGGTACGTGAGTGCTGGTCAACCCCCTTTATTTAAAACCAACACTGGGGTATCCACTGTCGTTAGTTTTACCCTTACCAAGCCCTTCATTTCTTTATTTTAAACGGATTTGGTTTCTTGTTATTTCATCTCCCTCGTAGATATGACGGTATTGATGTATTCATGCGTACTATTTATTGCGTGTCATCTCATAGATATGAATATAACTTTTCACTTAACAAGTTGTTTTAAGGCTTTTTTTTTCTCGCATTGTTGAAAAGGAGCGGATGAGTAAAGTTGACTTCTAAAAATCCCATCGGAATTTAACGAAAACTGGACAAATTGGGAGTGCGGCCTGAAATAAGCCCGCAAAGATATTTTGAGTGTAATCACCTTGAAGATAAAATTTCCGTTTTAAAGGAACTTCGCTTGACTTCAAAGGTCGCAAAATTAAAATCTCTCAGTCTAAATTGTGATCATTAACACAAAGCATGTACATCTGTAAGTTGCCACAATTACGATCCGCCGTTATTAGTGAAAGTGTTAAAATGAGTATAGATCGCCTGCGAGCTCTTTTTTGTAAATACAGGGAGGACCTGCCATTTTGATTTATTTCTGTTTGCATAAATTATCTCAGTTGAAATTATGTTGACTGAAAATATTAATGGCGCGTGCACTTCGAAACACGGGCAATATTGGGCGTCAGACTGAAGAATGCTTATTAAGCGAGCGATTTCGTATCCCGCGATAAAATACGGATAGTGGGTGTTAATCCGAGTCCCCCCTCAGGCTTTGCAAACATTTGTAGTAGTGAATTTACGTTTTCTTATTGTTCCTGAGGTTTTCACGGCTTCTCATTACTGATAGTATTATCTTAAAGCTAAATGTAAAGAAATATCGTCATGGTTAATGCTAAAAAGCCAAAAGACCATCTCGTTAAAAATTTCTTATTCAATAGTCTGCATGCAAATTGACAACACATCTGCTAACAGATCTCCGTTTATTTTAACGAGATCTATTTCATATCCAAGTCCTCAATAATAGGCACAAATTTATAAGCGTTCTTTCGAAGACCTATTGACTCTTCATTATAATACAAATGTCACCGAAAACCATATTAGTTTTCCACATGCTTGCAAATGCAACGTGCATTTTCGATGGAGTTGCGCTCGTTAAACTCAGTACATTAGTTCAGTCAGGAACATAAGACCCCTCTTTAAATTTGCCATCGAGTTTTTTTTGCTTTTGTTTCCTAATTTCGTCTTGCTTAACTGCAACTATCCCACTTTCATAAAAAAAAAAATATATATATATGTATTTTTTTCTGTCCGAAAACAAATACAGACCTAACAGGATGTCAGATATTGCAAATTTTAATTGTCATAAAGAGTTGACAAACGTCTCGCAGGAGGAAATTAAAACTACCGTTAATTCATCGTTATTATAATTATTAGAAACCAGAAGGTTAAAATATTGTTCACACTAACTGGTGTCACTGACTAAATCTAAAATCATCGTTCTGTTATGATATGAAATAGAATACTATATTTCTTCATCTGATCTCGCTGATGCGGATGGCACCTTTCGTGCGTTTGAACGAGCTGCGTCACTAGTTTGCCACTTATGAACTGTTTACCATGTGGGGCTGAGCGTATATAATTTGCTTTGGTGAATTTGATGGCCTTTTTTGAAAAACATTTGCTGTTTAACATTTCGCGTTTTTATATATTGTTTCTCGCCGTAGACGTTAGGGGCAGACGATTTTCAACTTTTTCCAAATACCGTGGAACCTCGATATAATGAAGGGCGAAGGGACTGGCAAAATATGTTTGTTACATCGAAGTTTCGTTGTATCGAGGTTCTTTTCCATATATTTTACTCTTACTGGAGTGAATAATATCGATCGTTACACCGAGGATTTCGCCATATAGAGGTTCGTTGAATCGAGGTTCCACTGAAGAATGATTTTATCAAGACTATTTCCTTTTTATGTAAAGCAGACATCTCAAAACAAAACAAAGTTCATTTTCCTGGCTGGAATGTTTTGACATCTTTATCAAAACCAAGCTGGATTATAGTCAGTCAGAAGCAGAATCCAAAACGGAAATGTAATATACTCTTCTTCTTTTTGTTAATATTATAACGAAAGATATCCAAGTGAGGTGCATTTTTATTACAATAGGTAAACAAGACTAACAAGAATACCATTAGAACTCCTCATCTCGAACTTACACTTTAAAGATTGAACAAATTTAAAAATAAAACGTCTTCATCTGGTCGTTGTACATCTGAGATCGGAATAAAATATTTTTAAAGGCAGAAATAGAAAATTTGACACATTTAGAACTGTCCGAGTTGTAAGCTATTGTTTTATATTCGAATAAAACGACCAGTCTAAAAACAAAGTTGATTAAGGATCTTATGTACCCAAACACAGTGTGATTCAGTAGATTTGTTTTCCTCCATAGGTAGAAGAAACGCAAACTGAAACAAGTCAGCGTTCCAGATAGCATGCAATGTCACTGAATAATGGTGACAGGCTGCCATGATGGAGGAGTAGTCCAGGCAAACAAAAGAACCTTATCAAAACTGTGGAATGCATGCAAATATGGCGACGTAAAAACAGTTGAAAAATTAGCAGTCAAAAAGGTCGGTGCTAACGCAAAAGCTCATGGCATGGCTCTCATTCACATAGCAGCGCGATATGGAAACCCGGATACTGTCAGATATCTCCTCTCTCTGGGTGCCAACGCCCATTCTGTGGACGAGGAAGGCTGGACGGCCCTTCATTGGGCCAGTGCAGGTGGACATGTAACTGTGATGCAGCTTCTGCTAGTGCATGATGTTGACCCCAATGTGAAAGCCAGGACTGGGTCCACACCGTTGCACTTAGCTGCTTCTAACGGACACGAGAAGGCTGTCAACCTCCTCCTGACTTTTGGCTGTAACGGAAATGTTCTGGATGGAAATGGAAGGAGCGCGATGTTTCTTGCAAGCAGAGGTGGGCATGTTCCCGTCATAGAAGTTCTTCTTAAACACGGAATTAAATCCAACCGGCCGCTCAAAAACGGTCCTACCCCGGTGCATACTGCGGCAAGAAATGGCCATTCAAAAGCTGTTGACTTTCTCATTTCCTGTGGAGCAGATATTGACGCTGTTGACAAGGACGGATGGAACGCGCTGCATTCTGCTTGTCAAAATGGTCACGTAGACGTCGTAGAAACGCTTCTTAAGAGCGGTATGGAGGCAGACACCAGAATCAACGGAGGTTGCACTCCTCTTATGATTGCGGGATGCCACGGGCATCCAGATGTGGTGGAATTTTTGATCTCCAAAGGCGCCGATCCAAATTCGTCTGATAAATGTGGATGGACCGCTTTGCACTTTGCCAGCCTTGGAGGGCATATACCCGTCATTCGAGCACTGCTCAAAGCAGGGGTAGATGTCAACGTTCGAACAACGCACGGGACAATTCCAATTCATATCGCTTCTCGTTACGGCCAGCCTGAGGTGGTGAAGTATCTCATGAGGAAGGGTGCTGACCTAGCGGCCACCGATAAAGATAACTGGACAGTGATTCATTACGCAACTCAGGGCGGTCGTCTTCCTTTCCGCGTCGTAGAATCAATGTTAAATCAGGGATTAGATATAAACCCGAAATCTGTATTAGGAATTTCTCCTTTACACATTGCAGCCCGCCATGGTCACCCAGATTGGGTGGATTTTCTACTGTCTCAAAATGCGGACCTCCTGGCTAAAGACAATCAAGGATGGACTGCTTTGCATCATGCCTGTAAAGGTGGTGAACTATCGGTTGTTGAGAATTTGTTTAACAAGGGAATCGACCCAAACGTTCGAACGTGCTCCGGGTTGACCCCTATCGGCATTGCGGCATTGCGTGGAAATCAGGAATGTATCAAGTATTTACTTTCTAAAGGAGGTGATCTAAACGTCGTAGATAACGAAGGCATGACTGTGCTTCATTTTGCCAGTCAAGGAGGACAAGCAGATGTGATCGAAACATTACTGAATTATGGAATGCAGCCCAATGTTCAAGCGGACAAAGGTCTTGTGCCAATTCATTCCGCAGCGTTCAACGGTCACGCGAGTGCTCTAAACTTACTAGTTTCAAAAGGAGCAGATCTGAAGGCGGTAGATGACCAAGGCTGGAACGTGTTGCACTTTGCATGTCAAAATGGGCACACTATTGCTATAGAAACAATACTTGAGCTGGGTTTAGATCCCAATGACAAGACGACAAATGGGCGAACCCCTCTTAGTATTGCCACGATACATGATCAATCAGAAGCAGTTAGGCTGCTACTGTCCAAGGGAGCCGATGAGCATGTTGCCGATGATGAAGGGTGGAATGCATTGCACATCGCGAGTTATCATGGCCACGTTACTATTCTTGAGCTGCTCTTAGAGCTCGGTGTAGAAGTCGACTGTCGAACTACAGAAAATTTAACTCCATTACTTCTTGCTGCCAAAAGCGGACAATCAGAGGTCATAGCTCCGCTTTTGTCACACGGAGCCAACCTGGACGCTACTGATAATGAAGAATGGAAGGCGTTACATTTAGCGAGCCTCGAGGGTCATGTGAAAGTTGTGGAGACACTGCTAGAGAATGGAGTAGATCCAAATCAGAAGACACAAAAAGGTCTCACCGCCATGCATTGTGCAGGATTAAAAGGACACAATGACATTATCAACTGTCTCCTGGAGCGAGGAGGCAACATTTACGAGATTGACAATGAAGGATGGAATACTCTTCACTACGCTTGCAGGGGAGGCCACGAAAAAGTAATAGAGCGGTTGAAAATGCTGGGCATGCAGTTAAACTGCCAAGCGGGAGACGGTTCAGTTCCCCTCCACATCGCCTCCCGCTACAGTCATCCAGAGTTAGTCAACTTCTTGCTGACACACGGAGCTGACACACATGCCGTAGATAAGAATGGATGGAACGCCTTGCATCATTCAGCCAAAGACGGAACAGTGGCAGTCGCTGATGCACTTCTCAAACAAGGAGTGGAGATGATCGTGAAGCGCACTCACGATGGCGACACTGCCATGGGAATTGCCGAAAAAGAAGGCAACAAAGATGTCCAACAGTTCCTAAATAGTTTCGTGTCCAATCACTTGGGGATCTCGAGCGACGAGGACAGGAAACACGAAAAATACTGAATCATCCTGTGAATGGTTGTTCACTCAAACACGGGAACTGGTAAACATTAGAATATGTTATCAAACCTGACCGCAATGGCATGTTTCTGATAAAACGTCCAAATGTCATTCGCTTGGCCAGGACCGTGAAACATTATTTTGACACCCAAAAGATAACTTTAAAGCTAACAGGGGAACACTGATTATTTGATGTTACGTTGTTGCTGCTGTTGTTTGGTATGAAGATAGATGAAAGCCAGTGTATTACTTATCCAAAACATTGGTCTAGTCTCACGCACTGTTAAATTCGATGTTGGTAATCTGTGAAAGAATTCAATGGATAAAATAAGATTAAAGAGGTTAAATTGTCTTATTACGTTGCTCAGCTAGATTTTCTTTGCAAATTGCACTTCGAAAAAAGGTAGTAGTTATAGTCGTCCTGGTGAATCCAAAAAACACTGTTACAAAAATTTGAATTTTCTGAAAAATCCAGAGGGTTTTAAATGTGTGTGCCAGCAGTGACTCGTTTCTTGTCACGAGGCATTATTTTATATATTCAAACCTCATCTACTAAAGAAAAAGTACGGAAACAACTCAGATTATACCTTCCAGACCTGGTCTTAGACATCGATTCTGTTTGTTTCTTTTATCTTCTTAAAATAGCAGAAGCTTTAAGTTTTTATGCAAATTAACATAACAAAAAAAATGTATTTGAAATTTATAAGCAGTTACCTTGTTTCCTTTGCATCATTTTCACCAGCATACTGCAAGACTGGGACAACTGTGGATTAATGCAAGAACGGGCAGAGTCATTTTGGGAAGAAGAAAGTACTACAGCAGGCTATTAAGGTTCAATAGCTTAGCCATTCTCTAACTGTTTACACGTAAATATAGTGAATGGCCAGCATAAGGGAACTCATTGGTAACTAAGATTGTTTCGCAGTGCAGAGCATATCTAATAGCGAGGAGTGGTTATAAGAAGCTAGAGGTTCGTCAATCATAAAATGAACAGTTGGACGGTCCACTACAACAGAGCGCTATCCTTTTTTGCGTAACCAATAGGTTTCCACTGATTAGTTTCTCACTCTAGACAAATTAAAGTAAATATCTATTGTGTTTTGAAGACGGAAAAGGCTAAAAGGCGAACAAAACCACAGCTATCCCTCTCTATTAACTATGCACAGAGCAAGGTAATTGGTGCGTATCGTTGTCTTTCCAATATGGCTGGAATAGCTGTTCAAGTTTTAATAACAAATGCACAAACGAAATAAAACAATGACTGCTTGAAGTCGTTTCTCTGTTTCCTTTGTTACACGTATTCGTTTTGATCCCTTCCCGTGGTATGAGGTGTAATTTAAAACTAATAATTATAACACGAGAAGGACCTTCATATGAAAACGCGGGGGCTAAGAAATGCTCGTCGTCTCGCTAAGGGGCGTAAATCACTGATCTTGAAGTAAGAAACGTTTGCGCCCATTGTTACTGCGCATCCTTACTGTAAAAAGGTAAAGGTGAAGTCTGCATACGAGCCGCATCTTTAATGTGCACGTATTAAATTATTGTCGCAACGTCACGCACGTCATCCAAGCGCGCGCTATTCAAGAAATGTAAGCGAGTATAGGGCTTGGCACTGGGTACGATAACTTTGCCAGCAATTTACTCTCTTAAATGCTCTCATATGGCCTAAGCTTTCTTCGAATGTGGACGGGCATGGCTAATATCTATTCTTTTTCAAGGTGTAGTCTACCTTGACGAACAACCTCAGCTGCAAACGTCTACTTAATTACTTAATATACTTAATCGTGTTAAACGGAGTATTTCTTTATCAAAATTTCACTATGACGCTTCTTTGATATCTGATGGTTATACCTAAGATCACCTTAAAATAACAGAAGTTTCTAAAAGTGCACGGTCCTCAATGCGCCTTACCAACAAGCTCGGTGATCCCCCCCCCCCCCCCCCCCCCNTTTTTTTTTTTTTTTTTTTTTTTTAAATCTGTACGTCGGAACATTTTCGGCGAGAGCATCCTTAAGAAACTGCTTGAGACTGCATAACACAAAAATGGCCTCGACGGGATTCAAAACTGCTCAAAAACCGTGCTACCAGTACCCCAGTTACCAAAATGCGATAAATTATTTACATGTAACCTCCAACAAGTTTTAACTCAAAGCTAATTACCTAAACTTCTCCAAATCCACGTTACCATCCGTTTACACATACATCGTGTTATTTACAGAATAATTTTTGAGTCGCCATGCTGATGCTGTATTACGTGAAGGAATAAGGACAAGAATCGTGACAATGCCTAAAAATATTTCCCTTTAGTGTTTTCAATTTTATAGATAATCGTCTAATGGAGGTTATTATTGGACTTTGTTGCCTTTTGAACTGATAAAAGTGTAGTAATAAAACCTCGAAAACAGTTTTGTTGCTTTTGTGCAAATAATTCTCTGAAAGATGTTTTCATTCACCGAATGTCATAAATTCTACCCTAGCGGTCTCAAACCAGGATGCATTGTAGAAACATATCACCTTTTAGTATGATTAAATATTTAAAAAACGACATATACATGACTTGGTATTGCAGCTTCCCGTAGGGTCTACTATCGATACAAATATTGTCGTTCATAAAGGTAATTTTGTCTCTCATCCTTCACGAACAAGGTTAACTGTAGACAGAACTTTAATGGTGTTTGTTAACTTACTTTGCGAAACTGAGCTATCTTAGCTTAGTAAACGAACGAACTGGACAGGGAAAGAAATGGTGGTAACTTAAAACAACGCTAAGAGAAAATTTCCTAAGCTGGCGGGAGGCTTCCAGAAATTCAAATTGAGCTGTCAAGAACTGATTTGCATTTTCTCAAAAAAGAAATATTCATAATCTCTTAGAAACATTTGCAATGCTTTTTCCGCGTATCCCTTCCAAGTTCTTATTAAATGCCATTCCACCTGTTAGCTCTGTCAAATACTTGGCATTAAAATTGAAGCGTCTAACGCTTCTTGCCCAACAGCAGTGGCCTTAATTATAATTATACCTGTCGTCTTAGTCAGTGAACATTCGTCATTGTGTTGAGCGAATACACTGTGGAAACAGAGTTACACAGGTAAGTGACTTGAAGTTACGTTATTTATACTGTAAATAACAAGAAATGTAATGTAAATCGCTTTGTGCACCGCCGACCTAAAATATCAGTTTGCATGCAGATGTGTTGGTAGAGGACCATAGAGGACGTTTTAGGAAAGAATTATTTAACATGTTATGCCAAAAAAAACCGCACACAGGCCTGCTCTGAGTGTTTATCGGAGCTGATATGTTGCAACCTTAAAGTGTGTTAAAATAGCACTCTTTTCAACAGGAACACCCTAAATATATCAATATAGGAAATACCTTTATCAGCTTCCAACTCTCCTCTGCTGGTATTTTATTTGCTGTCATTTTATACCTGCTTATTTGTTTGCGCGTGACAGAAAGAAACATACCCAAACCAAATAGTTCTTTCTGGTGAATAAGAATCATGTTTCAGTTATTAGTTCGCTGCAGGTTATATGAAAATACGAGCATATGAATTCAAATACTCGCTTAACGCTAAATTGACAGTAAAAATCCAGTTATGCCGTATTGTCAAGTATGATTCTAATGTCACAGAAACGCAATACTGGGAATATCTCGAGAATTCAAACTATTTCTCAGGGTGATAGGACAATTAAAAATATTATCTTCATGTATTGATAATAATAATAAAATAAACGCTAAAGATATATCTCACAACATTACCACCGTATAACCCAGCTTATACCATGTTCGTAAAATAAGCTTTAAAATATTGAATGTCGAAGACAACATTCTCCCCTGAATTAAAATTAGTCTTTAATTTATGAATCTGGAGAGATGCCGTTTTCCAAGGAAAATAGAGTTCGATCTGTCGCTTCTGTTTTCCCGAAGCACCAAACGAAAACACTGATCACTTGCATTAAAATTCTCGCTTCTGACAGATGGTTCCTGACTAGATAAAAGCTTCTAAAAGTACTGTGACTTCGATTTTCAAAAAACTAATGTGGCTCTGAACCTTACAGAATTTTTTAACTTCTCGGAAAGTTATATTTTATCCTACTAAACTACAATTCTACGATAAAAGATGGGGTCACCGAGCTCGTTTTGAATTATAAGCACTTCAAGATGAAGAAAAAAATGTTTTAACAGGTTATACAGTTGCCATGGTAACATATTATGTGGAAAAGATAACCACAACTTGTTCACCCATGATTGGCGCCTTGTGGGATATCAATATTCTAATATCACTTGGTAAAGAATTGTAGAATGGATACGTATGGATCGTCCAATGCGATTCCTTGTCGATCCTTAGATAGTTGCATTTTGCTGCAATGGTTCGACGGATCATTGATTCTTTAGATCTCAGTTTCGATGGGTCGTTGCATGCTTGGATTATTGGCTCTTTTACATCTGGTTTTGGGTTCTTTGGTTCTGTGAATCGATCGTTCAACTATTCGATGATTCGTTTGTTCGATCTGGGGCTGATAGATCTCCCGATCGATTTATTAGTTCCAGAGTATCAAAACCGGCATTTCTATTATGATCCAACTCCAATGCTAGCCTTTTATTTTCTTTTTTGATGTTGCTATTTCTAAGGTTGTATGAGAATGCCCATACCTAGGCATGCTATGGAACCAAATGGCGGCGACTCAGCAGAGCTTTGCATTGAACGCCTTACAAGAAAGTTATCTGAGGTGGAAGCTGTAGTGACGGCCAGCGAAGGCAAAGCAAACCATATGAGGAAAGAACGAGATGCTGCTAAAACGGAGAACGAAAAGCTTCGAAAAGAAGTAGCTAGGTTGAAAAACGAGCTTCTGAAAGTAAGGATGAACTCTGCCCTCAAAGAGAAAGAAATCACTGACGTACTGGATGTCAAAGATGGATCAAAAGGAACAGGTAATTCAATGACCGTCTTAGAAACAGAAATCCCCGTGCTCCGAAAAGAGAATATTGTTAGGGAGTTAACACAACCACTACTATGGCGATGTGACAGGGTGAAAAAAAAAACGAATTTATATTTAAAGGAGCTACGTCACGGTTTCGTATCTTGAAACGTTTAGCCTAAATTTTTCATGTTCGTTGTCTGTGATCCATGTTACTCTTCTCCATCCTTGACCACCCTTGCTTCTTCATGGCTTATTTTTATCTCTTAGGTGTATCTCTATCTCAGCAAAATACTATTTTTAGGTTCCCTTCAGTTTATTAAAGGTAATTTTGTCAGGGCAAAATAACTCAAAATGCCTTGACTGTGAGCTCCTTTAAGCTACGAAACTCAAGACAATCTGGTCATACAGTTTGTTTATCGCTTTCAAAACTGAAGACGTAATAAGACAGTGAAAAACTCGAAAAAGAATCTGAAGAAGTGGCCGTAGTCGTTCACGTTCTACACTCTCCGAAATGCAGCAATATTTACAAGTCATTGTTCTGTTCATTAAAACTTTCTGATTTGCTTAAACTTGTTATAAGTTCCTTCGTCATTCTTCCCATCATTTCAGTCATTCTTCAGTTATTCTCCTTCATGTCTTGTAAGAAATCCAAGATGATGAATGTAAGATGCAGGGCGAATGTTGTCACGTCATATGAGGCCATGTTGTAGAGGAAAGTGAGGGTAATCTACAAAATGAAAAATAGCCTGAGTACAAAATAGAAAAGGAGGCCATCTTCCCTACCTTGTATCACAGAGGGTGTATAATATTGATCGTGACTCCAATCGCAGGCCAATCACAGCGCAAGATTTATATTATCTTGCCCGCTCTAGGAGCAAGCCAAATAAGCACATAGTTCTGAATTCTATGCAAAACTGTGCGAATTAAGGACTAAAGCCCAACGAAATTATCATGTATGGTCTGAGGGTATGGTGCAACATGCGCTCTGGATGCACGAGGATCAAAACGCAATATGGAGTTGTGTGTAGCTTTGCAAATCTCTTCTCTTTACACCAAACCAGGTTACATCGATTCCGACCACCTCGTGGACCAAAAACGTCGTGGTAGCCTACCGGTTTCTACTATGTGGAGGCAGACAGGCGCACGAAGGGGTATCTTCGACCATCCCAAAGATCTGCGAAAATTGCTGGACAAGAAAAGCAACGAGTTGGTGCAACATCGACAACAATATAGAATCTTTGAGAATAAGTTTCAAGACGAAGTAAACAGGTGCAGTAAGCTGGAACAAGACACTGAATGCTTGAAGCAGCTCTTAGTTGATTTGTTAGGAATTCATGGGCGGTACCATCGCTCCTATGTGTTCCCATGCAGTAATTTCTCAGCAGTAGTTTTCCTTGTTTTGATTTTTTTGACGCTTATTGCCACATTCGTATTTGTGATGAACAATTATCATTTCTAAATGAGCTTAAAAATAGTGCTTATAAAGTATTTTATCGTCGTGAATAATTGTTTGCTACTCTTAACCTTTTTACCCGAGGAAAGTACTGCTCAATAGTTTTAATTCAAATGATTGTGCGCTAGTATCTAATGCACACGATAAAAATACAGAACTAACCTACACAGGAAACCAAACAACACCAACTTGCTATATCCATTGACTGAAAAGTTAGGACCTCATTGTCACGCATATACTATATGCCACCTTTGGTACACCAGTAGTGCTTTTGGCACACTAGTAGTATTTTCAAGGTTTTGCTGTTAAACAGACACATTTCACTTAGTTACCAAGCTTAGTAACAAAACGTTTATTGCTTCAAATAAAAGAGGAAAACAAATTCTTACGTATTTAATGTTTCTGTGATCACCGAATCTGTTTATAATCATATTGCCACGACGCATGTTTGATCCATTGATCTGTATAGGAGCTTAAAAAAAGGATTATTTTTCCAAGTTAACTCGAAATTATGAGAGGGTTTTAATAAATAAGAAATTTTTTTTTAAGTTTGCCATAAATGGAATCGACTCCTTTGTCTTGATCGTTTCTTTTAGAGGATATGAAAGATTAAAAGTTAACGTTTAATAAAAATTAGTCATTTACATAATTATATCAATTACTTTAAACAAGTGGTCAAGGCCTTAAACGTCAGGCAGGCATCCTGAACTTTCAAAATAAAAGAGTACACTTTGTGTATGACTTGTGCTTTGAAATAATTTATATCCATTAGATCACATCTTTTTATTCAAATAAAACACAGACAAAACAAGACAAGTCATTGTTGTTGGAATGGTAATAGAATTCAAACTTTGATGTTTTCAAATATTTGTTTCTGATTATTATGCAGTACCATCACAAAAGACCAAGGATTGAAAAAAATTCGTGCGCTTTTTGTTTTTCACTTTCACATGGAATGAAAAGTTTACTAAGGTTGGCAAGACCAAAATGGCATTACTGGAGGCAAACTAAACAACGAACAAAAATTGATTGGCATTGCAGAAAACTCATCTTCTGGAACAGAAGG